GAAACTCCGTCTCAAAAAAAAAAAAAAAAAAAGAAAATTCACACTGGATAGAAACCCTATGAGTGTGAAAAATATGGTAAAGCTTTTAACTAGTCCTCAGTTCTTAGAAGACCTGGAGAGATACTCTACAAAGGAGAAAGATGTGACAGTGCTTTGGACAACACCTCAAACTTTTCTAACCATAAAAGAAATCATATTGGTGAGATTTCATGTTGGTTATAATAGCAATACAGTCTGCTCTAAGGAATATTGTAGAAATTAAGTACAGCTAGTGCTCGACTTATGACCACGATTGGTTCCGACAGACCGGTCGTAACACGATTTGGTCGTAAGTTGAGTAGGCTATATGCACGCGGAGATGGTAGTGCTGCCGGAAGCTGGTCCACACTGTCGTACGCCCAGCTGGGCAACGTTTGCGCTGCCAGACGCGGAGCAGTCGTGGCTAGCAGTTGTGGTCGTAAAGTCGAACAGTCGTATGTTGCATAGGTCATAAGTCGATCAATGCCTGTAATACAAAATGAAATATTATTCATGAACTGACATTATTAATAGTTAATATTTGTAGTACACAAAATGATTTACAGATGTAATGCAACCTCTATCACATTACCAGTGACATCAGAGAAATTTTTTAAGACTGTGTCAAAATTTGCTGTGCTTGGTGGCTCTCAGCTGTATTCCCAGCACTTTGGGAGGCTGAGGTGCGTGGATCACAAGGTCAAGAGTTCAAGACCAGCCTGGCCAATATGGTGAAACCCTGACTCTACTAAAAAAAAACTACGAAAATTAGCTGGGCATGGTGACTCACGCCTGTAATCCCAGCTACTCAGGAGGTGGAAGCAGAATTGCTTGAAACTGGGAGGCAGAGGTTGCAGTGAGCTGATATCGTGCCACTGCACTGCAGCCTGGTGATAGAGCAAGACTCTGGAAAAGAAAAAACAATCCATGTAAAAATTAAAATAAGTGATTAAAAACAATAAATTTTCAATCTACGGGAACAATATTGTTTAACTTATTTGCAGTTGAAAGCCACCGGCACAAAAAGTCACTAGAGATGTTAATCCATCATGTTACTAAATAGTATACAGTTACCATCTTTTGCCTATACTCTTGAGTAGGGTGGGAGAGGTTAAAGTTTGGGGCATAATAACGCTTTACTGAATGAACAATAGTATTTAACATGTTACAAATCTTGAATTAAACTTCAAACAATATAAAATTTAAAAATGTAATGCATTCTATTATATAAAAGTAAAATTAGTACAAAAATACACTATTTATTTTAAAGATTTTTTTTTCTCATGGTAATGGAGAATATTACTCTAAACACCTACCTGATATTTCATTCAATATTATATGTTAACCCCAAAGAGCCTCTCTACTTAGATTTTCATTATGCATG